GAGTTTTATTAAAGATGCGAAAATATAAAACCTTTTCCTTTGTTCCATGGCCTCCCTCTCTCTGTCTCTCTCTCACTCTAAGTGTCCTGGTGCTTTTTTGTGTGCTGTTTAATGTTGTGCTCGCTTGGGCATGGGGATGCTCCCAGAGTGACAGAGACTCTTATGGGGACCTGAGACCGTGCCCTGCAACTTGGAACCTGCAGCCCACCAGCTGCTAGGTCCTCCTGCCACAAGCCCGCAAGACTGATGACACATTGAGCCAGTTATGTCCTTTCCCATGGGACTGCCACTTCAACCCGTAGGATTGGAAAGTCTACACTGGGATGTGCTTGGTACCTGGATTAAGAGGGTGCACTAAAATCTCAGAAATCACCCACTGAAGAACTCATTCATGTCACCGAAAAGCACCTGTAACCCCAGAAAGTATTGAAAAAAAAATTTTTAAGGAGTGGGTGAGAGACATGATTCTAACTGAGTTGCCCCCTGAACATACTGTGGCACTAACAGCTTGTGGTGGGGACAGCTGCCACCAAGCCCTGCCCTGAAATGGCATAGGTTGTGTGCCTGACCCCAACTCTCGCTGGGTAAACAGTGGCCACTGGGTGGGCCAGGGAAGGCTGGGTGAGACTGGGGACACCAGAGGGCAAGGGGTAGGAGGCAGAGTGTCCTGGGCAAGTGGACAGGTGACGGGAGGTGGGATGGCATAGGGCTGAGGTCCCCAGCCCTCTGTGCATGCTCCATTGTCCTATAAGACTTCACTTACAAAGCATCAATTCAAAGATAAAATGATTGAGGATTTCAAGATGGTGACTATAGATGCCACAGAGCACTAAATTCAAGTATGAGACCTTTCTGAGGATGAAGACCCTGTGCACCTGTGCTGGCCACATGCTCATGAAGTGCACCCTGGGCTGTGGAGAAAAACTATAAGGAAAGATTTGTGAGTTAAAGGTGCTTGCATACAATTAAGTTAGTAAAGTATTTGGAGCAGATACAAATCAACATATAATGTTTGTACAGTAGTATGTGATTAAGTGCTATATTTAAGCTTTTTGTATTCAGTTACTTTGGAAATTAGTGACCAGTTAGATTTTCTCAGTTTTTTTCCCTCTCTTTCTTCTCCAAAATATGATTTTACAGGCATGTGTGGCCAGAGTTGAGGTGAGGGGGACACCACTCGATGACATACTGGAATCTTCTATGTGCAAAATTTTCCCTGGGAGGAAGGCCCATGAGAAAGCCTGGGAGGAGAACCAGAATTGGCCTCCTGGTATGAAATCCAAAGGGTTGAAGGAAAATCGATCTGATTGAACTGAAAAAGTAGGTCAGAAATTGAGGGAAGGAGTGGGCCAGGATGTGAGTGTGGATAAGTTGGCAAAGGTCAAGCTCAAGTACCTGACCACCTGGCAATGGAATAGGAGCTGGGATGCGAATTACAGAGGACTTGAGAGAGAACTCCCATTCCAAAGGGGGAAATGAGTTCTTGGAGGAAGCAGAGGAAAAAGCTCTGTCCCTCCAAGACTAAGTGGGTGGATCAGAGCTGCACAAGCCATTAAACACCTACCCCGCACTCCGTGAGTGGAGGGGGGGAGCCTGCCGCGTCCGACTGGGCATCAAGGGGCCTTTTTGGGTCCCCCTGCTCCCTGTAGCCATAGGCGTTTATGAAGTAAAGGCAGGGTCACAGACTGTGCCAGAGCAATTTACAGCAAATTTGTCTTTCCAAATGAGGAGACATTTGGCCAGTTGCTTACGTTCCTCAGCCAGCCAGGGGGCTTGTGACCCAGAGCAGATGACAGCACAGGACAGCTGGCATAGACCTCTGGAAGGAGTAGTCGGGTCTTCAGTTGACGGTTTTTACCGCGCTGTCCTAGGCTGGAGCAGGAGCACAGACAGGGAAGGCTGCCGGTTCCTCCTGGCCTGGCCTGGCCGCCTCGCTGTGGTTACAAGACCAAAGCAGAGTGGCTGATGGGGGCTGCTCAGCAGTGCTTTCACTGTGTGTATTAGCTGCTTCTACTTATAAAACAAAAACCAAAAATGCAGATTTGTGTTATTAGACAGTTGAAATCTAAACAGCCT